ATGTTTTGTTTTTATTGTGCCAAGAACAAAAAGACTGAAAATCATTTTTAGAGCTCATTAAACCCAGCTTGTTATGTCAAGATGACAAACTACTTTCCCGTCATCATGAGAATTGGGAAAAAGAATCATCTTTGCCCTCTCCAGACTTCCATATGTCGGCGTGTTCAGCTCACCTCGTTGCCGTACATCATGAGGTGGTGTGTGGTGATGAGCGCTTTGAAAACCACTATCCAGCTGTTGCTGGCTGTGCGCTCCAGCAGTGTGTCTGCCAGGTGGGGGATGCTGACGTTCAGCTCATTGGTGCAGTGGATCAGGTCTGGAGGAGACAGAAAAATAGCATAAAATAATCTGCTAAACATACTGAGAAAACTTTAATGTGAAAAAGCAAATAATTAGTAGGATAAAGATTATAGAAACTGGGTCAAGAGGTTAGAGATTATTTGTAATTGTGCAGGTTTGAGCTGGGAACAAAAGCACCAGCCAAAATCATAATTTATAACCTAAAAGAGCTTACAGGTTGAGTTATTATGAATCAATGGAATGACTGAACAACCATGATGAATGCAGTCTTATCGACCGGTGCATTCATTTTGATTCACTCAATATCAGCACACAAATCAATAGACAAACGATTATTTAATAATAGAGACTGTTTAGACAGATGAATCAGAACCAGTGCTACTCTATCACAAAATCCATTTAGTGGCTGTAATTCAACAGCGCTACCTACATGCTTTACCAAAATGCTGATAAAATATCATCTCACAAGATTGAAAGTTTATTATGAGGTCAATTCTACTCAGCCACAATCAACTTAAGAGATACATAATTTAAAAAAAAACTGTCAAATGAATGAAGACTGATGATAAATAATGAGTTTTCTTCCAGAGCATCTTTGTTAGCCAAACGTTTACCCCCTTTGACTCGCATCCAGATTATAAATTGTCCGTTTAAAAGTTAACTCAGAAACGTATTTAAAGGCAGTTTTCAGTTTTTTATTTACAACAATAGGCCCCAGAAATAATTGCAGATAACAAGTGAAAACTAAACAGACAACTAGGACAGATCGGTGGAACAATGCCTTAAATTCTTCAAGGATTTCTCTGGTTTAAGATCAAAATGTGAAGTATGTTTGGCCTCTGTTTAATCTCAAAGATCTACTGAGTCCTAGTTAAATAACCAAGCTTGGGTTTTTTTCTCTAAACTTGACCTTGCGTTTTATTGTAAAACCCTTCATATAGATGGACTGTAGAGTGCATTTACTGCATAGCTGCTCCATGTAATCTGTTCAGTGACATTTATCAGGAAGTCTAAGCTCTTTTCTGATTGCATTTACCTCACTATTTTTGCTCTGACGATTCCCGTTTTAGATTAAAAGACTAAATGTTCTCAGTAATAATGTAAAAAGATTGTGAAGATTATTTAAAACCCAGACAGAGATGTAAGTGAATATTATAAACCACATATTGTGAAGGAACAAGGAGCAAAGTGATGAAAAAGAAGGAATAAATCAACAATATGACCAGATGAGATGACAAAAGAAGTCAATCAAAACATTAAAATCAAGATAGGAAGCAAATTTACTTATCAGCAACAAAATCCAAACATAAAGGCAAGTAATGAACTAAATTTTAAAAGGGATTGACGCTGGGGATGGAGAGGAAGTCAACTTGTATTCAAAGATGGTCGGAGAGAGAATTTGTGTTACTGTGAGAAAAAAACTTCAAGCAGTTTTGATTTCTGAGGCAAATCTTTGGTCTGGTTCTTCCACAGGATCAGAGGTTATCAGGGTTTATTTAAAAGCTCTGTGATGTTTTCTGGGCTCGCTGGATACCAGAGAGTCCCAGTTGATACCGCGGTTAAATGTTTAATGCATGTCAAAGGCACCCGGAGCACCCGCAATTCACCACAGCTAATGCTTCAATCCCCTTCAGCTTTATGTTATTTTTGAGTGTGAAAACCACATAACTGTAACAATATTGATTATAAAGTCTTCATCGACTCATCCGACAACGCCTGTCCATGAATTATTGCCGCAGTCAGACTCAACGGTACAGACCCATCAAACACATTTTGAATAAATATCCATTATACAGTAATGCTAACATCAAAAAGACCACTGAAGTACATAAAATGGCTACCACCATTTTTATTCTAAGGAATTTCTATTTTTCAGTCCCTTCCCCTAATTAAATCTCTGGGCATTAATACCATAACTGTATGTGGTAATGGTAGCGTTCAGTCATGCTTTACACATTGTTAATGGTTTGTTTGTGAATTTCCTTCTGGCTCAGTAATTAATGGGGCCATATTGATTCTTACTAATTAATGTTTCCTGTCAAAACAGAACATACACAAGCACACCAGTAAGGTGGACAACACATGGCTCTATGGCAGCGTTGGTCCATGGACAGTCAAGTTGCCCCTAAAATTAATTGTAAAGACTTTTGTGATTCATTAACTTTTCATCTTGTCCAGTACTTTGGTTTCAGCTGTACTCAGTGTTTAGTACTTATTTGCAAATATCAGCATGCTAGACTAAGATGATTATGGTAAATATTAGTCTGCTAAACATCAGTGTATCAGTCTCATTTAGTGTAGTTTGACACACACTTGTGGAAAAAGCCTCTATTTTAGCTGCACGGTGGCAAGGATGCAGTTCATCACTTGTCTCTAAGTACTGTGGAACAGTTATAATTTGTCTGTAACATAAATATGAAGGTAATTGCAGCAAATGTATGCCTGTTTTTGTCATTTTTATGGAGAATTGTTGAACCCTTATGCTAATTAAGAGCTAACACGGTCAGTCAATTGGCTATAGCTCGACAAGTCAGCTGCAATATTTTACACATTTGCTTTGATTTATTGTTTGTTAAAGTAAGTTTAAATGCTCACCAATGTTTTTATGTAAAACGTTTTCATTCTGTTCACCTTACGTCTTTATTAGACACTGTTAGCTGTCTGTCTTTTCCGCCAGACGAAGACAGACTAATTCAGATGTTAGCATTTAGCACCAAGCACACTAAATACAGTCTCACAGAGCCGCTAGCTTATTTAAAGACATTATTTGACTTTTCACAGAGTAATAAGTAGCAAAGCACTCATGTTTCAACTTGAATACAGTTACACCTAATGGAGCTTTTTCAGTCAAATATTTTCATGCCGGGTCCGCCTCTATGTATCCCTGTGGGTGATAATACATCAGCTAGGATTTAATCATCGACGTGTGACAGTGTAGACAGCCCGAGGGATGATGAAGTATTGACTCTATGATTGCCAGCTGGCATTATTGATAAGATGAAGTCCATGTAGGAAATAAAGTACATCAATAACACAATTACAAATAAGATTTTAGGAGCGCAAACATTTACACAAATAATAAGTTCAATTCAGGGTAGTTGTAATGCTAGTTAGGATAAAATATAAAACCAGTGTCTTAAAGTATGTGTGACTGCACTGAAGGGACTTACTGGAATGTGTAATAAATACTTTATTCAAGTTTTTTGCTTTAGATAAAATGAGTATTTTTCTTGAATTGCATGAATTGCCACACCTCCTTATTGGTGCAGATTTCTTGTATTTTTGTTCTAATTTGATCATTTCAGCTTCTTCTCAGTGTCTTCTTTCACTTAATTTGGCTAAAAGGCCAAAAATGTGGCTACCGAGGAGCTAAAGGCCCATAATTATTCTCAACACATCTACAGTACATCACTTTTACAGCCGTGACACACGCTTGAATAAATCACATGCCGAATAACACAACTAACTGTGCTTTCAGGGGCAGAAGGTCATTTTTGACCTGATTACTATTCTGCGTGTGATGAATCTGGTTTCTATCGTCTCTCAGCAATGCAGAATATTGCCTTGTGAAAGTGAAATCCCATTACTCTGTCTGTCATGCTCATCATTTGCTATTGGGTAGTAAATAATCAACATTGGCCGTTTATGTCACCAGCCAGTCTGTCAAGGTCATGACACTGTAAGAAAAAAAAAAAAGCAGATGACACCGGTTTGCTCGCTCTGAATAGCTTCAATGACCAGCTTCAACTTTTGATTTATCATGTGTTGCATTTGGAAAGGGCCGGCACCACAATTCATCTTTTCTTTCCATTGTGCCTGGTAAGGATGGATCAATAAGTAAGTTGAGTATATTTTGAAAAGAAAGAAAAATGCCGTACATATTTATCAAACCTTTTCCAATTAGGTTAACTGATCCAAATTCGCTGCCCAGGTGCAAAACGGGAAAAACGGATGGGTATTAAACCCCTCGCTAATGGGCAACTGCTGCCAGTGACCTCTGCTTCATTATATGTATGTTGCTCCTTTAAGCCTATTCTGTTACACATATTGATTTGCGGAGGGCTTTTATGCACACTTCCATTACCTCAAAAAACAGACCAAGTATCTGTCACTTTTTATGACCCTATTTAAGTTGAATGAGAAAAAGACTCTCAAATCCAATGGTGGTCTGGGTGAGTTGCACATATCTGGACTCTCAGACCTGAAATCAACCCACAGTCTTGTACAGCCGACTCATCAGAAGCTCCTGTGGAGCTCATTGCCTTTGCTTTGCTTTCTTTATTCACTTCCAAGGTCCTCTCAGCCGGCTGAGGGATCGCATCCTCTGACCTCCTGATTGCAAACACCCTTCCTTCTTTCCCCTAACCTTAAAAATGCAGCCGGAGAGTTGTATGTTATATCACGTCTTGCAAGGAGAAGAGAGGGAAATGTTTTATTGTGGAAGCTAGCTGTGTCTGTTAGAACAGCTGCATCTGAAAGGCTCAAGTACAAAACATTCATTCAGCTAAAAATTTCAGTTCAAGCTTTCGCTGAGGGGGGTTTGAGCCAGGCCTACAGTTTCTGCTTCGGCATTGAACCTTTTTATTCCCCTAATGATCAGAATAAGAGTCCTGATCAGAACAAAATGCAGCCTACCTCGACCAGAATAAACTGACCCATTCTAAGAGGGAATTCATTGTCCTCCAGAGAGTTGGTATAAACCTTTTTTATAATCCATTTGACGGATCAAAATTTGTCATGTAAATGCTCCAGTTCTATTTTTAGCCAATATGCTCTCGCCCTTGAGTTAAATGACATTTACTAGTTTCTGAGAGACTCCGACTCAGGGCGGGTGCCGAAGGTGGACGACCTTCTACCATTTAACGACTGCAGGGGTGCTGTGTTGTTATAAAACTGTGACTTTGGCACACAAATAAACCAATAATGCTGCCAATCACTTGGTGCACTTTAACTGGTTATTTTCTTTAGCACTTATAAGAATACTTGGCGATAACAGTAATAACAGTCAGCGTACTATAGAAAATCCTCTAGTTTCTATCTGCACCAAATGTAAAACATTAACCTCACAAGTGGCTATAGCAGTCATACCACTGATAACAGAGCTCTTAGCGGTGGTCACCATCAAGATAAAGAAACCACAGCTGCAGTAAATACACAACTTTGCTATTCCAAAGTCACAAAATGGTCTTTTTTTTATTATTGCAGGTACATTTACAAACTTGCTTCTGAACCTTGTCAGGCACCCCCACTGGGTGTTTTTTTTTCTGCTTTAATGGCCTTTTTTAGTGATACAGCCCTAATTTAGATGTATTGTGCCGAGGCGCTCTGTGGCACATCTTGTGAGGGAGCCCTGAATTCCCAGTGTCACCTCTGCTGTGGACATGACTGACTAATCCACTGCCAAACTTGCCAGCTGACTGGCTGGGTATGTAGCTGGATGACTGACTCTCAGGGTGTTTGGCTACCTGCCTCGTTGTTTTCCTCTCAGACTGATCAGACCACATTTCCTCTTGATTAGCCATCTTGCTATTTCTCCCCCCACCCCCTCCTCTCCATGTCTGTGTCTGTCTGTCTTTTTGTAGCTGTTGGACTGGACTGCTTGTGAGTCTGACTGGCAGCACCATTGATTCCCCCTGCTCTCCATCGATCATGTCAAGTAATTATGGTGAAGCAGAAAAGCCACCTAACCTAATAATCACTTGTAAAAAAAAAAAAATCTACATGAGAGGATCCTCTTTGTGAACATAATTGCTGCAGTTTGCACACACAGGTAATTAGCACAATGTGGAGATAAAGAATCTGTACTCCGCTTAAACGCCTCATTTTAACACCCACCAGCGGTGATACAATGACTCTCTCTCTCTCTCTCCTCCAGCACCTCGGGACTGACAGCAGTAACACATTCATTAATGATAGTAATAATGCACCAGAGGACACGACGGTGAACTTGAATGTGGCATTTGAGGAGAGAGAAAAAAAAAAACGTCGGTGGTGCTGCTGCGCGAATAACGCACATTTTGTCCCTGAAGAGTCTCCGGAGGATGTGGAGCGCTGCCGCCGATATAGTGGCGTTAATAATGGATAGGCCTTACACTGTACTAAAGCGGCTGCTTGCAATATGATTAGCCTATAGCAGAGTGGCCTATTTCCCCTGAATGACATGCACAGACAGTACCTGGCGCCTTACACCAACATCCACTGCTTGCGTCGGTGGGCAGACGCGTTGCCTCGCTGCGTAAATCACATTACAATCTAAGGGAATGTAATGGTGCCTAATTAAAGAGGCTGCAAACATAACCGGGCCGGATGAGAGAGAGAGAAGATCGG